TCCCTGCGCCGTTGTTCTCCTGGCTGCCCGGGTTGTCCCTGCCGCCCCGGCCTGCCCGGTTTCTGCACGGGGGCTGGGGGTGAATGGAGCTGGTGCTGGGAGTCGGGGCTGGGCGAGGTCTGCCCAAGGCCAGCTGGGGCTCTGAGCAAAGCGCTGCAGGTGTGAACCCTGAAAGCAAGAAAACTGGGAGGCAGGGCTGGAGTCCCCTCCCCTGGGACCTTCCCCCTGAGTAAGGAGGAGGGGGCTGCCTTTGAGCTGTGAGTCATAGGCCCGGGGGGGGGAGCTCCGAGAGAGCCAGGTCACGCTGTGTTATTATGGCGGGGTGGGGGGGCTGCAAGTGAAGCTCTCGGTGTCACTCTCTGCCCGCAGATGGGCACCAACAAGTGTGCCAGCCAGTCTGGCATGACGGCCTACGGCACCCGGAGACACCTCTACGACCCCAAAAACCAGATCCTGGCCCCCATGGACCATTCCACCATCAGCCTGCAGATGGGCACCAACAAGTGTGCGAGCCAGGTGAGCAGGGAGTCCGGGCCTGGTGAACCATCTGTGGGGAGGGGAGTCTGCAGATGGGCACCAACAAGTGTGCCAGCCAGTCTGGCATGACGGCCTACGGCACCCGGAGACACCTCTACGACCCCAAAAACCAGATCCTGGCCCCCATGGACCATTCCACCATCAGCCTGCAGATGGGCACCAACAAGTGTGCGAGCCAGGTGAGCAGGGAGTCCGGGCCTGGTGAACCATCTGTGGGGAGGGGAGTGGCTGGCGCCTCTTGGCATCGGGTTTAAGGGCGGCATTCGAAGGAAGGCTCCTGGCCAGGCACAAAGTTGAGTCCAGGAAAACCCCAGAGGCACCTAGATGATGAAATCTGTGCTGCCTCGCACTCTGCTGGAGAGAGGGACTTGTGGTTAGGGCACTGGACCGGGATGTGGATTTAGAGCGCTGGCTCTGCCACAGATTCTCTATGTGACCTTATCCAAGTTCCTTAATCTCTGTCCTGTTTTACCACCTGTAAAACAAAAGCTGTAGGCTCCCTTCCTCCTGCCCCTCCCATCATCACATGGTCTAGAAAGATCAGCTGTTTGGGCAGGGTCAGGCTACGTTCTGTGGGGCCCAATCCCCAGGGAGGGGATCCCGCTGCCACTGTTACCACCAGGAATCTGGTCTCTCAGGTGGGCATGACGGCTCCGGGCACGCGGCGGCACATCTACGACACCAAAATGGGCACCGAGAAGTGCGACAACACCTCCATGTCCCTCCAGATGGGCTCCAACCAGGGAGCCAACCAGAGCGGGCAGATCTTCGGGCTGGGCCGGCAGATCTACGACCCCAAGTACTGTCCGCAGGGCAACGCTGGCGACGCGGCCAACGCGGTGTTCGACCCGAGCACGGACCTGCCCCCCTACCACTACTACCAGGAAGAGGAGGGCTACTGAGCCTGGCCCCGAGGCCGGCTTGTGTACAGATCCCTGTGGCCGGCGGCGCTCCACTACCTATAGCCTCTCTGTAACTTTCCTAAATGAATCTTTCTGAGCAAAGACCAAATCCCGGGACCCTGGAGGGGATAGTTGGTGGCTTCTTAAAACCCTGGGGCCTCTCTTATCTTTTGGGGAGCAGCCTGTCGCTTGCGGGAGGCGAGCAAGGCTGCTAGGAGTCTCCAGAGAAGTGGTCCCTCCAGGAAAACCCGGGGGGGGGCTACATGTGCTGGGGAGGGCAGAGTGGAGCACTCGCATGCAGACAAGATGCAGCCGTTGAGCCCTGCAGCCCTCGGTGTGGCGAGCGCGCGGCTTGTTCTTCGAACTCGGAGAGTCCTGTGGGATGCTGCAGCTCTAGGGCCACACACGCCACCTGCCCTCCCAACCCGCCCCGCTCCTGCTGGCGAGGTCACATCCCCAAGGGACCAGAGGCGGCATCTGCCCCTTGGCTCCATTCGGGCCTTTGCCGCCAGCTCTTCCTGCTTCTGCGGCTCTTGCGCCGAGGGCCAGGGCTTATTTTTGTGCCTTTTTTTGGTGATGCCAAAAGTGAAGCTCGCGCTCCGCTAACTCAAGCGAGGCGAGGCCAGTGCCTTGGAGACGTGAATCTAAAATACCCTCCTGTTGCAGCTCTTCTCTCCCTCCTTCCCTTTGCCCCCCTCCCGTCGGAGGAGAGGGGAGGAAGGGTCTGATGGTGCAGATGCAGCAGCCTGCCTAGGCAGTACGAGCTGCCGGGTGCTTGCGGGCTTGGCCACCCGCACAAACGCATCTCATGTATGATGCTTGGCTCCCCCTTACTTGTTGTTTTTAAATGTAAACCACCAGGAAACTTTTTTTTAATTGTGTTTGTGGCTTCCTGCTGCCATTCGGTGTTCCTTGTGGGGGGAGACAGCAACGCTGCACGGCTGGTAAATGACAAGTCCTTAAGAACTGGATGGGGTCTCGCCCGCGGCTGTCGGAGGGATCGGAGGCTTCCTTGTGCCGACGGGCAGCCCAAGTACTGCACAGTTCTCGCCAGGTGCTACTGTCCTTAGAGAGGTAGCGTAGAACTTTTTTTGAATCAAATGTGAAACTGTAATATTTGAATATAGGCAATAAAAGCTCTTTGGCAAGGCCTGGCGGTGTTGTGACGTTTTCTAAAGTACGTAACGAATAGGTTTGGCTTCCCTGGAGAAATACGGAATTCCGTGTGTCTCCCACCGTGCGGGGGCTGGGATGGGCTTTGGATTCCTAAGGCCGTGTATTCGGGGCGGGCGGGGGGTAGCTGCTCTCAACAGCTTCCCCCAGACGCAAATATTTTCCGTTTTTCTCCTGTTGGAGACTTGATCTGCTCTATTCTTGTCATTCCAAATTGGAGGGTCCTGCCTTGAGGAAGGGGTGAGGAACCTTGTTTTGGCCGGGGGCCGCTGACCCACGGAAATCAGCCAGGGGCCACCCAAGGAAGAAGCCAAAACAATGCAAAAGACACACTCCACTCCAGCGTCAGGGGTCCAGCCTGTAGGTGGCGCTGAGAGTCCTGGCGCGGATCGGAAGCTATCCGCAGAGCAGATCAAAGTAAGCTGGATCGGGCTGGCGGTTCTCCACCCTGCTTTCAGGGCACTTCTGAATTGCAACCAAAGGGCTTTTCCCCCCTTCGGGTCCCTTTTGCATTTCATTTCTCATGGTCAACTAACCCCGATGCTGGAAGAGAACAGGTTTGATTCCCAGCACCCGCAGCTCAGTGATATACGTGAACTCCTGGGAATTCCTTAACTCGATGCTGTTTCAGATGGGGCTCCTCTTAGCCTAGGCTGCGTCAGACCTTGTGTCTCATCCAGCACTTCCTTTCTCTGCGGTTGTCACGGCAGGTGGTGCTGTTCCCATGGTGCTGAAGGTGTCTGGAAATACAACACCTTCTGCCTAACCAGGAAACCAGTTTCTTGAGCCCTGTGAAGCAAAGCAAAGTGAGCGCTCCAGGCCCAAGCTGATGTGCCAGGAACAACCAGCACGAACAATGCTCAAAGAATCAGTACAGCCAAGTCCCCGAACGAGGACTCGGCCTCAGCAACAGGCCTGGACTGAATTGTGCCTGTTCCTTTTATTTGCTTTGGTGGCCTGAGCTTGTAGGGAGTTAACGTTTTGTTGGTTCTAATCTCACGGCTGGAGGTTGGAAACTTTCCTGAAAAGGAAACGTGCTCTCGCCACACAGCGCTGCCTGCCTCTCTGGAGCTTTAGAAACTTAAAATCTTGCAAGATTGGCAAGAAAAGTCTGATTCTTGAGTGTCCCAGTAATTACTTTGACGTTCCTTCTGGAACGGTGGTGGAGTCTGATAATGCCTCAGTTAAACACTAGTGGTTCTGCAGCTCGTGGGTGGAGGTTAGGTGAACCGATCCACGTGGTGCGTTTGTCTAACAGGCATGGCGAAAACCCCAGCCCTGCTTGCTTTGCCGCTATCCTGCAGCTATAGGGTACGTCTACGCTGCGGAGCTATTATCCGGAAATAGCTAGTCTGCGTCTTTTGAGCGGGCCCGTTATTTCGAAACAGAACGGGCTCGCTATTCCGACGTCCCTGTGAGCCTCATCCCGCGAGGAGTCAGGATCGTTGCGGAATAGCGCTTTATTTCGAAGTAAGTGCCGTGTAGAAACTGATTCGAAACGCGCTACGCCATCTGCAGAAGCGGGCTGTGCCCACGAACACTCACGATCCCATCAACATGGTTTGTGAGTCCATAAAGTGCTGCCCGATCATTGGTTGTTTATCAAATTGCATCGCTTGTTTCGAGCTACAAGTGCAGTGTAGGGGCACCCTACTGTCCCTCTAATACACAATTCATTTCAAGTAATCAGCGGATTCTTTTCTGCAGGAAGTGGCGCTAGGCTGCGTGGTTTTGGTGTCGGAGGTAACCCAGGGGCCTGTGAACAGCAGCCTGCAGGCCTGATTCTGCTCTGCACTTTGCACAGCCCCTGGGCAGAGCAGATGTGAAATGCTGCCAGGTCAGAACAGTTCCCGTCATTCTCACGCAGGAGACTGGTTACATCAGAGGATCGGGCTTCTCCTAGCTGAGCGTAGCCCAAGGCAGGAATAGCGCCGGCGCAAGAGGCTGGCTGCAGCTCTGGAGGCTCAGCCCGTTTTCGCACCTCACTTCTCGAGCTGAACGGCAGCTTGTTTTAACGTGAGGGGAGACTTTTCAGAAGTCCCTGCACCACCCCCCCCTTCACCGCTTCCTGCGGCAGGGCGGCCTTGGCGGGGCTCCCAAGGCTGCTGGAACCGGCTCTCCATGTGCCCAACGCCTCAGGCTGGGCTGCGGTTTTACTCCTGAACTTTTGAAAACTGGGGGCGGGGGAGGCGGCTGCGCTCC